CCCTACAAACTGTTACTTCTGCTCACACTTTTATGTTGATAAATAGCGGTAATGTCACATTTCACAAAAAAATACTCTAAACCGTCTGCAGCTCAAAGGAAGAATTACCTCAGGCTTTCGAACGTCAAACACAAACAAATTAAAATGTCATAACACCGTGGCAAAACACTGTGTCTGCGACGAAAACGTCACTTTCAACAGTTCATTCAGTAATGTACACGTAAAGCAATAAAATCGTTAATAAATGTATCATGCGTGCTTGTATAATACAATGTATAATACAAACATGAAGCCCAGAGATAGTCAAGTGCACGCTTATTCGATAGATATTCAAACTCGATTCTCTCGAAAATGAAGCTTCGAGCGAATAAATTTTATTCTTTACACGTGAAATCACCACAGCGTGCCTTGGCTTAACATTTCCAGCGACAAACGAAATTTTCTAACGAGCAAACTGTCCTCTGCTTGCAGGTCCAAATAACGATCACCATGAGGCAATTATCCTGGATATTCCTTCAGCTTCTCTTGCTCACTTCGACGATCTCGTCGAGTCTGTCAGCCTCGACGAAGTCTCGAGGGAAGAAAAAGATCGCGAAAGAGACGAAAGAGGTGAACATCTGCGATATGGAACAGAAACAGGATCCCTTGTACTGTTACTGTGACAATAAGACCATAAGAAACGCCACGGACTCCACTTGTTTGGTGTTGAATCCATTTGGTAGCAACGATCCGATTTGGAACTACTTCACCTCTCAGTTGTATCTGCAGAAACTGAAGTTCGTGGTCAGAACACCGAATGGATTAGAGTATATACCTGTTCCGTTGCTCAGGCAATTGAAGAACCTGCAGAAGATCACGTTCCACGACGCGAGCATCAACGAACTGCCCAAGTACGCGTTCTCCAACCTGACCACCATGACGGAGATCGATCTGAGCAGGAACTCTATCTCCACGCTGAGAGCGCACGCATTCGAGAACATGAAGAACTTGACCGCGATCTACTTGAACGAGAACAGGATCACTGAGATTAACAGGTAGGATTTTTTTACCTTTTTTTCGTTTGGATACTTTTTGATGTTGGTGATTCGATAGAGGATTGGGAAGAATGAATTGAAGCAGAAATTGATTTTTTTTTTAATTATCACCTGTGGAAATAAATAAATTTTGTATAAAAATGAAAGAATAAAAATGCAATATTTGATATAACTTTTAAATTTTATAGAGAATTCGAACGAGTAAATTGAAACCGAAATTGAATTTTTTTTTTAATTATTATCTTTGGAAACAAATAAATTTTGTATAAAAATGAAAGATTGGAAATATAATGTGAATTTTGATGTGATTGTTGAATTTTATAGAGAATTAGAAGGAATAAATTGAAACAGAAATTGAATTTTATTTCAATTATTACTAGAAACAAATAAATTTTGTATAAAAATAAAAGATTGGAAATGTAACGTGAATTTGACATGATTTTCATTCTTCTTTGTGAAATTAGAATTATTTGTTCATAATATTTTGCGAAATTGCCAACACCTGAAACGTTCCATAAAAACGATGAAAATTAATCACACAGTAATCAGTTGCTTTCTTCCTTTTACCTCTTACACTGAAATGAGTATGAAAATGAAGGAACTCGCTCCATCTACTTTTGTTCGTTTCTACTCAGCTCTCTATTCATACTTCTATTTACACTCAGAATCCCTCATTTTCAATTTATTACCATATATACCCTTCTTGACACATCAATCTACCCTCGTGGCTCAATCTGCGTTCCATGATTCACTACTCGCGATATGCATTCGCGGACGAATATTCATTCCATCTGCAACATTGCTCTACCTATCCTTACATCCTAGACACCAGTGAATTTCGCCCTAATCACCATCCTCGAACGATAACAAATACAATTTCCCATTTTAATTGCGATCGAAGAAAAATTACCTCGCAAAGAAACCATCTAGCGATGATTCCGCTGAATTTACCATACGGTTTGGAATTCACTTCGAGACCCATAAACGTTCATTTGACGGTGTTCGAGAGATAAGAGGCTCCTTTACCACCGTCACCCTTCATAATTCCCACTGATTCGTTCAATTACGCTCTATTACGAAGTCAGAGTCCCGGAGTAAACTGAAAACCTCTTGGTTGAGGGGCGTTTTACGAGCCGCCATGCCAGCCGTACAAATTGCCGTGGAATTTCGCGATGCACTGGGAATTCACGCGTCCCGTTGAATCAGTGAGCTTCTCCGACAAATCGTATCGACTTTTCGCGCGTTCAAAGCACTTGAAATCCGGATAACGCGACTGGTTTGGCCCTGTTAATAATCAATCTCGTGATTAGCGGCATAATCTATGCATCACACGGTTATAATTGACCAAAATTTATGCATAATGCGTTAATAATCTATCGTTGATTAGGTGAATCGAAGGTGTGAGTTTCAGTTGGCTTTTTATGGTATGCAATAATGCGCTAACTTTGGCGGAAATTGGTTGAATTAAATCTTCGATTATTGGCGGATAGAGGAAATTTTGACGGTTTATTAGCTCCAGTAATTATTACAGTTTTGTCGAGGTATTTGTAGATCGACGTAATTGGGTTAGATGTCGTTATTTTTCAAAAGAAAGGGTTGAAAATACATTTTAATTTAACGAAGTTTTAATTAGTAAACATATCTGACGGTTCTTGTTACTTGTTGTTGAAGCAAAATGTTTTATGTGTACTGCGTGGAAAAATCGACATCCTGAAATATTGGAAGAAGCGAGTTCTTCTTCACGGTACGTTCATGACACGTCCGCTAAATGTGGTTTGGGGATGCCTGCGAACACCCCAGGTATAAATGTGCACACTGTCACCACGTTTTGTAGGCAGTTCTAATTGTGCGCCTGTCTTGTGAACATCGTCTAAAATATAATTATTTACCTACCTTACTCCACACGAGTCATTTATTTAATATAACCCCTCAACACTTGTAATTAAAATTGCAGAGGAAATTTTCATCAGAAGTAATTAAATCAAACATTTATTTTTAATAGATGGAATGTGAAATAATTATTATGGCTTCAAAGATCACGAAATGAAAGCTTGAAAATGCATATTTTGCAGTTTCTATATTTCTGTACATTAATATCCTTTATACGTATCGTTTTGATATACGTAATATCTTTTATACGTTATAAATATTTTTCAAAAATATTTTCAAGCTGATCAAGCTACAATTAAGGCAAATTAGTATAATTTAGAAAAAAAAAAAATTATTGAAAACAATCCACTGTAAATAAAATGAAATTTTCCCACAAAACTGCCCTATTCACTCGATTTTTCCCCAACAGACTAACATTTCTTTAAAAACCGGAATAGTTTTTTTAATAAATAAATTATTCCCAAATGAAGACACTGTAAAAGTAGCATTTACAGAATTTTTTCATTCAAAGACTGATATTTTTATAAATTTGGAACAACGAAACTGGTTAATCGAAATTATTTTGATTAAATACATTATTTTTTGAAGAAACATAGTTCATCTGAAGTTTAATTTCAAAAACCGACGTTTCATATGCACCAACCAAACACGTGAAAGTAGTATGTTACTTATATTGGATGGTGTAAGTTGTGTCTGATTAAAGGTAACTCTATTCTACTTACACGCTTCGTTCCCTTCCTCTCTAATAATTTCGTCGATTCTCCGCAAATTGAAAATTATATCGGAGCTCTCCTCTTGCTTTTCAATTAAATTTCGAGCTGTACGTAATGACATTTACAAATTAATAGCGAAAACTATTATAATACGTTCTCCACGAATTGCTCAATTACCATTTGCCCGATAAAAGCGGTCGAAGTTTATAAAGTGTAACTGGCAATTAAGAGTTAATCGATGAAACACGGTTAACTGGTTAATCGGTTTCGTTCGTGCGTACCTGCCACGTTTACACGAACAGAGGGAACTTATGTTTAATAAATAATTAAATTATAATGTCTGAATCTAGCTTTCCGACAAAATTAATGGAACTTGGAAACGGTTGATACGAGGGCAACGTAAAGTAGGTTTCTTTTTAAACAGATCTGTTGATTTATTAAGAGTAGTTTGAAATTCTAATGGAAAGATTGCAGTAATAAATATTTCAACGTTATAATTTTTACGAAGGTAGAAATAATTAGAATTATATTTGAGATGGAAACAAAATTGCATTGAAAGAGCATAATAAAATGAAACACTTTGGTCTCTATTATAACAATCATCGCAAAATCAAGACAGAATAAAATTTTTCCCATTATTCTGTCTCCCCTTCAAATAAAGTACAAAGCTAAAATACACTCTCAAGAATCACTGAAATTCTCGTTATGAAGTTTTTAAAAACCAACCACATCTTCATTGCTGTCGCAATTTTCCCATTATACATTCTTGTTTAATTAATTTCTAAGTAAAGCAGAACAATGTACTCTTATAATTCGAATCAAATTCCCACTTTCACCTTTGTATTCGCAAATCATTCAACTTGTTACTGCAAAAAAAATACCAGTTAATATTTTCTACACGTTTGATATTTTGGCATCTGAAAATCAGAATATGTATCAAATATTTCTTCACAAAGGAAATACATCACAGAGAAAAATCGTACATTCTCCAATTACCTTCACGAAAAATTCTTCAAAAATGTTTTGACGTTAGAAAATCAGAATATTCTCAAAACATTATTATTCCCAAATTCCATCCCTAAAAAATTCCTCGTCCCGAAAATTCCAAGATAAAATTAAACTAGAACTATTTCACAGGAAAACCGTACATTCTCAAATTCCATCCCTTAAAAATTTTTTGAAAATATTTTAACATTAGCAAAATCAGAATATTCTCAAAACATTATTATTCCCAAATTCCATCCCTAAAAAATTCCTCGTCCTGAAAATTCCAAGTGTTCCAAATAAAACGACGAATTCAGAAGGCGAGCAAAGCGATATCAACAGCCTCTGCATTCATCGTTGTACCGTATCTGGCGTGCAAGCCGGCTCAGGGTGCATACGCAACGCATTATCAGGCGTGGAAAGTCGCGGCTGGCAGCTCCTTATCGCCACGGGCAGGAGGGTGTCGCTCGTTTGCAATCATTCGCATCGCGTCGCTCCCTGCAACACTATAAATAAACGGGGAGATCGTTGACGGTCGATATGAATCCAGTCACGCGATAGAAACGCGGACAATACGGCCGAGAGGAATCTGAATCGCTTGGCTTTCGCCTAAATGCGCGTCTCCGCTTAGGGTAAACGTCGCGAATAGACGACAAAAGCTCGCGACGCTTCGTTCATGGAGAAAATTGACGCGTACCGTGTACGGTACGCTCTTTCAAAGAAATCACGAAGGGGTTGAAGCGTATCGGGGAGGAATTCGATGTCCCGATTGGTCGAGGGGCTGCGTTAATTGTTATGGGGTGTTTCCAGAGTGTTCTTGGGCACTTAGCTTGATTAATCCGGAATCTTTAGATAGGTGAAAGCGTTTTATGCCTGTTAGGACGATGTACTTGCTTATTGTGTGAAAGGATGTATAGTTTGAGATCTCTAACAGTACACTTGTCTTTCGGATTTTATTTCCTGGGAAGTCACTATGTATTGAACGTACTGTTTTCTTTTTTTAATTCTTTCTTGCTCGGAAGATTTTTGGTTATAGTCACATTTAACACTTTGTTAAATTTTGTTGAAAAATACTGAAGAATAACGGTGCTATATTAATTTTGATACTATATGTTCTTCGATACAAGAAAAAAATGGGCCGATTCTTTAAATAGGATTTTAAGAAATTTGTAAGAATATATTGAAAAGTTAATTCTTTTTTTATTTAAGATTTAGCTGCACAAATTTTGCACATATGTTTAGCAGGTTATCCTGGACAAAAAATGTCATGTACACTATGGGTCGCATTCCTTTCGTTACCGAGATAAGTATTGTTTATGCTAGCCTCAACAGCGGAGATAGGTGGTTTCCAATGATGAAGACAAAGCTTGTGCATGGCATTCAGTATACTTGTCAGACTTAATTTCGTTAGTTTGACAGTGTGCACGATGCCTCGTCTTTTTTCAAATGCAGAAAATACCGATATAATATTCATATAAGGTTTCTGCAGCGTTAATAGTAGAGCTCGGGTAGCTGAGTATCAGCAACAGTATCCTAATCGCACAGTTCCTTACCACTCTACTCTCCAAAATGTCTTCAAAAGTTTGAGAGAAATGGGTTCTGCGCGTTATCTGCAAATTACATAATCTATACATCAAAACTAGATTTACGCAAATACGTTGGAATTATTGTTTCACTGCAGGTATGCTTAATATATTATTTTCAATATAATTGACTAACGAAAGGAAACAGACCTATAGTGCATGTGACATTTTTTGTCCAGAATCACCTGCTTAACACGTGGGTGAAGTTTTTTGAACTCCTTACCGAATACCTTGCACATTTTAATTTTATACGAATTAATTCAAAGAAATATGTTACAATGATTATTTAAAATTTCTCCTATTTACTATGTTCCTTTTTATATACTACTGGAGCTATTTCAGCTTGCTTGGGAAAGACTGTATTATTAGTTACTCGTGTCAGCTCCCTTGGGAACACTCGTAGGGAATCACACCCCTAAAGATAAAGACCTCAGGGTAAATTTAGCCGTTCCTTGGACCTCCTCTTATCTATCAGTCTCATCAAATAAGAGAACCATCTAGTTGATGACGTAGAAAAAAAAGTGTTCCTAGATCTATTCACCAAATATATCATCTAAAATATTTTCTCTGCAGATACATATCTGTTTTATTTTAACTTCGAACAGGATACTTCCGATGTGATTTGCAAATTGTCGTTCTCATACTGAAACGAAGTAACAACACTGAAAATTACGGTGAAACTGTATTTTCATAAGGCCACGGTGAAAAATTTATACGCCAATTTTGTTGGAACTTTATGCGTTGGTAAAGAATCGAGAAACGTTTGGCCTATATTCAACCGGCCTGCTACACAATAGTTTACGAGATACTTAACGATAAAGATCGCGTTTCATGTACTGGCGCGCGAAGTATCTGCGACTTTACTGCTCTTCCGGGAAAGATAAGAGGCCAATAGCAGCCTCGGTACATTTTTCTTTCTTCACGCTCAATTTTCTTGATTAAGAGTACAACTTAATAAGAAAGTTCTTCAGTTTCAGTTCTAAAGCCAGTCGTCTAGTGTTCCTTGAAACGTGCTGCCTCTGCCAATTTCTGAAAGAGTTTTTCCTTCAAATATTTAACAAAGAAGCAATTTTTCACATTTATGTTCTTTATATCGTGTAAGTATTCAAGTTCGTTCGTATTTGTTGGTCTATCTTGTAGATATACACTCTCGTCCATAAGTATCCGGACACCTAGCAAATTCAGATAAAGAGCGTATTAATGATATAATAATACAATTATTTCTTAAGAAAACTGATAAATATTGATATTGATATTGATTGATAAAAATTGAAAATATAGTACATTCCCGTTCGTAAGTATCAGGACACATACTGAATGTAAAGCAAAGAGAAAATATTCAGCCTGAAATCTCGTAGCATGACAAGTAAGTACATATACAGGGTGAGGCATGTAAAGTGAATTATCAATTGAATATTATCAAAAATATTGGTGATATGAAAAACTGTTGCTATGGAAAACTTACGTATTTTAGAGGACATTCTTTTTTGGTGTAATTGAATTTCTTGTACGTGCAAATGTCGAGAACATTTCAAGATCGTATCATTATTTTTTTAAACGGAACTGTATATTTTTCAAAATACCTAAAGACATTTCACACTCAGACGAATTCAACAACTATAGTCATCGAAATTATAGTTTCGCTACAATAATTCTCTACCTCAGAGCCGGTTAACCTAACTCCACTTGTTTTTCAAAATTGAATTATTCCATCTTACTGTACTTCCTTTACTTCGTTAGAGCCACAGGAAGCTATATACGCTACACTAAATAAAAATGATTTAATTGTTAGAACTGCTTCAAGTACAACACTGTCTTATGCACGACCGCTGATGTTTGTTTGCTCTGCTGTAAAATTGCAATACAGAACTTGAGTCAGTCCAACTCTCAGGAATGGAATTGCTACCATTTCACGTACTTTCCATCTAGTGTTTCCAAACGTTCTACAATTATCTCTACATTCGAGCGTCTCATCTTCTAGCTGTTACAACTTCTATTTCAACAATTAACCCAATCGATAAACCTGTCGCGCGGCTTCTCCCTTGTATTTCCAAATTACTCCGAAGAAACCGCTCGAATCACTCTCCGCGGTGGCTCTGACAGCCGTCGCAGCAGCAAGGAACAGCCATCAAATCCACCAACTCATCCCACGCGAAGAAACAAAACACCGTTTAGAAAGGAAGCCGCGGCACGGGGCTTCAAACTCGAACATCAATTCAATTCCCCGTTGCAAGTGCATACATAGTTCGACTTGCCAGGCGCGATTAACGCGGTCATAAAGCCCCCTCATCCCCAATTTTCTTCCTCGTCCCTCCACTCTCTCTTGCTCTCTGTCATAGTCGAACACGTCGGCTGAACTCGATCCATTCAATTTCCAGGGACACGTTCATCAATCTGCCCTCGCTGAAGGTTCTCCACCTGAATGAGAACAACATCAGCACGCTGCACGACAAGGCGTTCAAGCACCTCACCTCGCTCGAGGAGCTCGAGCTGTTCGACAACGAGATCAAGGTGATCACCGCGGACAGTTTCCATGGTCTGAGGAACCTGGAAAGGCTGAACTTGCGCAACAATCTGATCGCAATGATCGGCGATCGCACGTTCATCGAGATGCCATCGTTGAGAGAGCTGGAGCTCGATCAGAACGAGATCGAGTATATCTCGGAGAAGGCGTTGGACGGAATGAGGAATCTGAGGAAACTGAAACTCAGTGAGAACGAGCTGGTCACGTTGGAGCCGGATTTCCTCGCCGGTGCACCGGGCATCTATATGCTCGACCTCAGGGACAATTTGCTGAAAACGATGACTTTCGATAACATCAAGCCTATCGTCACAAATTTGTACAACAATACCAGCTACTTCTACCTGCTTGGTGAGTGAAGTTTTCCATTTCCATTTCTTAGAGAGGATTCGGCTACTTTTGGGATGTGTGTCAGAGGAACTTTTTTTATATTCTTCGGGGATTTTGTGGAATTGAAGATTCACGATAAGTTGCGAGCTTTTGGGAAAATGTTTTTTAGGTTAAGTATGAAAATTGTCGAATTTTCAGTTGGTAATTTTTTAATATTTTTCTTGTGATTGTACGAACTTCTCAGAAACTCTTACTTATGTCTTCTTGTGAATTTAAATACTTTATTAGGTCATACACGTTTTTGGAAGCTCAAGTAGTTTGTAGGTTTAATTTCAAAATTTAAGAAGGCTCAATTTCATTTCAGTTCTAAAAATCAGTGTCTACGGTCACTTTCTGAGACACAAAGAGAAATTATGGCAGTCTGCACGAATTATTTCATTGGAAAATAACTGAAGCCTAAAACTAAATTCTTTCCCTCTCTTCAGCATTCTACGGCTAATATAATTAAAGATATATATCTTGGAGAAAAATGAAAAGTAGTGGAAGAACACATCCCAAAATTGGTCCTTGCATGTCTCGATAAATTAGTTGCGCTAACTCCACGATCCAGAGGACAACAATGAGCTTTCTGATTTCGACTTACTCCAACAAGAAGATTAAGTCTCGTAAGTCGTATCAGGGAAATGAAGGAAAGAACTTTCTTTTCCGTTGTCGCTTAATAGATAATTTTCTAACGATCCCATAATCGGCGTCGTTAAGGGGGATAACTCTGCGAATATCTGAAATCTCCTCCCTCGAATTACACAGCCGGTAATTGCTCGAGAGAAGATGGTATCACGCCTCGAAATCTTTAATTTCACTTGTTAA